AAGTTAAGAGTCAGCCACACCTACCTAAAACGCCTCGTTCTAACACGCCCCCACATATCTACGTCACGTTGTGGGAAGATTTGCATAACACCGCCCAAATGTTCACGCAAAGGAAGAAGGCGTAACTTTATTGTTGCTGCTGCCGCCATGTCGTGGAGACGCTTGAAGTATTCGGCCAATCACAACGCACTGGATAGCTGGCCAATCAGAGTACACCTCACTTTTCAGAACGATGAGCTTTGTAAAAATCAACGCGTTTCAGAAAGGCGGGGCATAGAGGAGAAACAATAATGTACAGTATGTGGAAAATGTGTTTTTTGAACCTTAAACTGCATAAACACATTGCATTACACCAAATACACATAATAATGTTCTTTTTAGGAACGTCATATGACCCCTTTAAGCAAATGTTATGCACCACTGCAAAAAAAAAAAAAAAACCTAGATGAAGTAGCCGACCTTACTAATCAACATTTTAGTTGATATACCTTTAGATTAAACCATACCTTCGAGTTACTATTCTTTGCGGTTAGCTGTCTTCTGTGGCTAAAGTTTCAGAGTTAGCAGTGCTTATTCAATAAGTGCTGAGAGCGAGTGTCTGCACAGACAGAGAAATGCATTACACAGCTCAAAATGAGACAGGCCAAGTGTTTGGCCAGTCAGATACATAGAGAAAGACAGAAAGGGCAAGACTGAGTGAAAGCGAGGGCTGCGGAGGGAAAGAATGACCTCGGAGAACAGCACAGAAGACAGACACTGGCATGGTACTCTGCAGTGAATGACTCAGGGGACGCAGTAATCCCTGTAAATTTCCACTGTACAGTTAGGCTCTCTCATTTCAACACTCTCTATATCTTTCACTCTTAAACCTTTATGTACTACATCTGTAATATCATGGTACTTTGATATATTCCACAATACTAAATCGTTTCCATATTCCAAGGAATTTAAATCTGTAAAATCGAATATCATATGGAGAACTCTTTGTTTAAACATGTCTTGAGAACACAAGAGATCAAATGGTTATCCGGTCTGTGAACAAACTGTATATTGGGGGTTCCTGCTCAGTCTCTGGGACTGAACTTTGACCCCCAACAAGTTATGAGCCCAAGTTATGAGTTAACAAGCACACATGCAGACAAAGAGTCGATTGTGATGTCTGTTAATGTATGTCTGTATATCACATGCACTGATGCTTGGACTTGTTGCATTTACAGAACACAAAAGCCCTGAATACAGTGCACTAAGGAAGGGATAGTAATTGACAAAATGACTGGAGCCTTTGTCTGCTGAAGACGTCAATAAAATATACTCTTTCCAAATCCCACCATTACAATTGAATAGCCTGGGTGGAGCTATGGATACGTCACATTATATCCACAGGTGATGAGAGGTGTGCTTTTAGGCCTCAAATTTTTTCAATAACATGAACCAATAAAGATTTGACAGCCTTTATATTATGTGTTATGTATATTATAAGTTATGTGTACGTGCATTACCTTAAACCCTCTACTGAAAGTCCATTCTGCCAAAACTTTGACGCTTCAGGAAGTTCATAAACACATCATAAAAGTAATCAATATGAATCAAGCATGTCAAGCAAGTGTTTGAGCTTCCGTTGACCATATTTGACGAGCTCTATATTTTTTGCATTGATCAATTATGTGCATAAACACCTGTTGATCATATCAAGCAACTGTTTGGTTCATATGGATTTCTTTTTCAATTTATTGATGAACTTTAAGCATCAAAGTTTATGATAATATAGTGAGTTTGGGTGCGTAGGAAGTGACCATTCATCTTGCTGAACTGGCTCGACGCCAGAGCAGTTCTGAACAGACAGGATAACTAGCGAGATGGGGATCTGACGTGACTCACATACGCATGAACACTTCAGTACAGTTACTGTCCACTTCTGCAACCAGGCCTAACAACCAAGTGGAAGAGAATCTCTGTTATCTTAGGTTACAACACGTGCAGTCATAAAAATGCACTTGACTCACTCAGGGGAACTAAACGACAGCTTTACCTAAATGAATGTTGTGCAGTTTTAATACAAGTAATCTGTGCAATGTGTGGGAAAGCATTCCAGCTAAACAATTCTCCTCTTCCATTCCGCTTGCTTAACTGAACACTAAAAGGCCACGTAAGACATGACGTCTGAGAAAACAGCAAAATGACATTCAGGCAGAGTATAGATTAAATGAAAGACAAATTTCAGACTGGTAGTTTCCAATTAGGCATCCAAAGAGTTTCTTTCTAGCCATGTGACTGTTGTTTATCTGTAACAGAATAATCCAGGGATGCAGTCCTTTTAGACAACAGCTGCTGCTTGTGACGCTCCAGTCAGAAATAGGTGTGGTGAGAAATTTGATATGGTTTCTATTATATTTGATCCAAACAGATCTTTGCTTAATAAAAACTCAAGGAAAAGAAAAGGGAACTCAAGGGGGGAAAAAATTGCATACCACACTACTGGCTCTAGTATTATGTAATTAAATCAGCAATCAGACCGCAAGTTAGAACAATGCTGACAACACATGCTTTAGGATACTGTGTGCATTAATAGAGACCCATGTTTTATCATCTGAAAGACCTCTTTAATATCACAATTGTATTACCAGATAGATTAAATGAAGTGTCTAGTTTTTCTGGTGAAAAACAACATTACCCATGATTCTGCAAAGAAATATCCGCCAATCAGAGAATCAAAACAAGCAAATCACACCAAAAGGACTCTTTAGCACCTTCCCAAAGCACTCCGAATGACGTGATAGTCAGTCTCCCTGCTCTCAAACTACTTTATTTGTAACACAATCAACATCTTTAAATCAGCAGTATTGTATGTACACTGCCGTTCAAAAGTTTGAGATCAGTAAGATTTGTAATGTTTTTTTTTTTTTTTTAAGTCTCTTCTGCTCATCAAGGCTGCATTTATTTGATCAGAAATACGGGGGGAAAAACAGTAATATTGTGAAATATTATTGCAATTTAAAATAATGGTTTTCTATTTTAATAGACTTTAAAATATAATTTATTCCTGTGATGCAAATTTGAATTTTCATCAGCATCATTACTCCAGTCTTCAGTGTCATATGATCCTTCAGAAATCATTCTTAAATGCTGATTTATTATCAATATTGGAAATAGTTTTGCATCACAGCTTTGCATCACAGATATAAATTACATTTTAAAGGTATCATATGATGCTCCTAAAAAGAACATTATTTGGTGTATTTGGTGTAATGAAATGTGTTTATGCAGTTTAAGGTTCAAAAAACACATTTCCATATTTTCCACATACTGTACATTATTGTTGCTCCTCTATGCCCCGCCTTTCTGAAACGCGTCGATTTTTACAAAGCTCATCGGTCTGAAAAAGCGAGGTGTGCTGTGATTGGCCAGCTATCCAGAGTGATTGGCCGAATACCTCAAGCTTGTGACGGAAATGTTACGCCCCTACCACATTGTGATGATGCCCTGTCCAGCCGGAGCGATGATTCAAAAACATGAAAACCCATTATAAACGAGGCATTCGTTGCATCCAGTGGGGACATAATTATGGATTATAATGACTTGTACTGTCTTTTTACGTGTTGCATCGCGCCGCGTAAACATAAAACCATGTCTGCATTTGTGATCGGAGAAATGACAAACAACAAGCCCTACTCTACACTGCCCAAAAAAACTCTTCAAAAATTAAAAATATAAAAACTCTTTAAATATAAAAAAAGAGTCAGAACAGCCGGCATTCACACACGGCGGCCTTGAGTGAGCAGAGGCCGGGGGATAAAGTGAGGAACGGCCGGCGGGCTGAGTGAGCAGAGGCGGCAGATTCGACGAAGGAGCGTCCGTAGGGCTTGCGGCAACCACATATGACGATCCCGGGCTGGACTCCGTTTCGTCCACGGTGAAAGCCGATCCGGCGATCCACAATGCAAAGTTGTAGCATTTCCTCAGCAACGAGCACGGATCAGCTCCAGGCATGACGAAGCAGATATCGTCCTCTTTTGGAAGACCAAACAAAGCTTTCACAACGAATCACAGCGCCTTCACGACATGGCGGCGGCGGCAACAACAATACTACAGCGAGAATAAAATTTACGCCTTCTTTCTTTGCGTGAACATTTGGGCGGCGTTATGCAAATCTTCCCACATAGTGATGTAGACATGTGGGGGCGTGTTAGAACGAGCCGTTTTAGGTAGGCGTGGTTGACTCTTAACTTTTATAAAGAATATCTCTTTGGATTTGAGACTTTAGTCTTTGCAACTTTACAGATCTTCTTTATGCACCAAGAGCTTGTAACACTCCAAAGAGAAAGGAAAAATTTAAATAGCATAATATGACCCCTTTAAAGTATATTAAAATGGAAAACCATTATTTTAAATTACTTCTTTAAATCACATTAAAAATCTTACTGATCCCAAACTTTTGAACAGCAGTGTAACTGTCTTTTTTAATTCATCTTTTTCAAATATCATTTTTAAGCCATTAAGTACACAGCCTTGCACCCCGGGGTGCCGTAACGGTGGGAAAGGTTAGGACGATTCCAAGGGCTCAGATCAGAAAGGGGGCCGATCGTGAGATTTCTAGTACTGGCCGATTTAAATTCAAGTTTGAAATGCAGCGATTCACCTAGTAGAGGACTGGTTTGAGTCTTTGACACTCAAGCTGCATTCACACTATCAGTGACACGTAGTGACAAAGCGTCACATTCCCATTCATTTTAATAGAGAGCTGGCAATTTCCGGCGACACAAGCAACAGGGGCTGTTGGTGACAGGATGTAGGTGTCCAGAGTGTTATGAGTAACATCCATAAATATCATTCTTAAATGTTACACTGTAAAAATTATTCAGGGGACCTGTTGCCACAAATTAAATAAAGGTTGCACGTTAAAAATTCTTAATTCATATTTTAATTAAACCTTTTAAGTTGCCAACATTATTTTGATGAGTTATGTTGACAATTTTGATTATTACATCAACTTAATATAATGTATAATGCAAACTAAAATTTCTGCGTTGCTTCAATTTCTTCAAAAATTAAGTTGTAGTAACTCAAATTGTCTTGTTAACTTTGGAAATTGGGCAGTGGATTTCTAGATCCCAGCATGCTTTGCGTAGGATTGGATAAGGAGAGTAAATGTTGAAATTAAGTGTTATTTTGTGTGCGTGTGTTTTAGTGGAGGAAAAGACCCGTTAGTGTTTAATGCTGTAACGTTTGACATTTGTAAGAGTTTCTGTAATGTTGAAGTTTTTATGGTTACCATTGTGCTGAAAAGCAGACCACAATAAGGTAAACACTACATTGACACTACAGACAAAGATTTTTCTATAATGCCAGAGTGCAATTAACATCTTACTAAATAAGTTACATTGATCATGTGCTATTGCAGCTGTGGATTTGAACTAAAAATTGGTTCCAGGCTTACAAATCCTTTTTTTTTTTTGAGTAATCAACTTAGAAATGTGTTTGTGTTACAAATTATTAGGTTGCTCTAACTCAATGTAAACATCTTACTAAATAAGTTACATTGATCATGTGCTATTGCAGCTGTGGATTTGAACTAAAAATTGGTTCCAGGCTTACAAATCCTTTTTTTTTTTGAGTAATCAACTTAGAAATGTGTTTGTGTTACAAATTATTAGGTTGCTCTAACTCAATGTAGTTTGTTGGTTGAACAATTTCATTAGAAGTTGTCATAACTCAAAATTGAAGCAAATTGTTGCATTATTTTATTTTTTTTATTTAAATTTTATTTATTTTAGCTTCACAGTTTTTTAAAAATCTATGGAAAATAAATTAAAGAAAAAAAAACAACTTTGGGAACCAAGGCCAGTGGTTGGTCACTGCTGCGCTCCATAGTGAAGAAAATAATGGAGTGACTCTGTTCCAGTGCAGCTTTCAGTTTGTGTAGCTTGGTGAAAAAAAGTTTGATGTTTTGGCTTCTTTTGGAACCAATTTCATTGGCAAAGAAAAAATATATGTACTAACTGGACAAATGCAAGTTACTCCATATTAACAATATCAAGACTTGCTTGTGTGATGCTATGTGTATATAATTCTCATCTATGTCAATTCATATTCCTTTAAACGAATTTTAGGAGTTGACACTTAAATTAAACATAATTAAGAACTCAATCAAGTCTCCTGTGAAATTAGCAACCTGAGCAATGCGATTTCTTAGTTGTAACAAAGCAGTGTTGTGAGCTTTATGACTGATGAAAGTTCCAGAGGAATGGTAAAGTTTTGGCAGTGACAAATTTTGTGTTTTGCAAATTTTGCTGCTTCAGTATTTGTAGATTATTTTTCCACATGACTATGGTATACTGAAAAACAATGATAAGCATATCATAAGTAAGTATATCACAATGATAAGCATATCATAAGTTGTAAAGGCTTTTATTAGCAAAAACATATGAGTCAATATTTACAGTGTTGACCCTTGTTCTTCATAACCTCTGCAATACGCTTCTGGGCCAAATCATGACTGGTGGCGATCCATTCTTGCCTTATTAGTTCTCAGTGTTGATCACAATTTGTGGGGTTCTGCTTGTCCACTCGCCTTTTGCTCACCTTTTCTTTTCCAAACAATCAATTTTCCAGAGGTCCCAAACAGTCAGAAGGGAACTCCATCAGAGAAAATAACTTTGCACTCCAATCCTTGTACTTCCTGCAGAATCTCAGTCTGTCCTTGATGTTTTTCTTGGAGAGAAGTGGCTTCTTTACTGCTCTTCTTGACACCAGGCCGTTGTCTAAAAGTCTTGGCCTCACTGCGTGTGTGCAGATGCTCTCACACCAACCTGCTGCCATTCCTGAGCAAGCTCTGCACTGGTGGTGACACGATTCCGTAGCTGACTCCTCAGGAGGAGACGGTCCTGGCGCTTGCTGGACACTCTGGGACGTCCTGAAGACTTCTTCACTGCAGTTGAACCGCTCTCCTTGAAGTTCTTGATGATCTGGTAAATAGTTCTTTCAGGTGCAATACGCTTTGTAGCAATTTTCTTGCATGTGACGCCATTTTAATGCAAAGCGATGATGGCTGCAAGTGTTTCTTTGGAGGTAACCATTTCTAACAAAAGCACAATGATTGGAAGTGCTTCTTCCCTCCTTTTATAGCAATCAGTCTACTCTTACAATCTAATTAGTATGGTAGTGATTTCACCTGACTAGTACTCATTCACACTTTCCACACGTGCTGCTGATATTAGTCAATTAATGTTAGCTGGTCATTTTGTGTCAGGATTTTAAAAAAAATGTGAAATTTGTTGTTGTTTGTTTGTTTTTTGTGAAAAGTTATTTTTTTTGGCCAATTAAGCTTTTAGCAATTATTTTAAATGCATCTGATCACTCTACAGAATAATCTAGAAACAATGTGAATGAAAACCCCAACAGTTTAAGCTGCAAACTTTGCAAAACACAACATTTATGTCACTGCCAAAACTTTTGGCCACGACTGTAGGATTCAACGCTTCTGTTCGCACGACCATGGACTAACAAATTCCCAAATATCGATCCGATATACGGCAGCATCAGCGCGTGCTGGGTCCCAGGTCATCTACCAATAACTTTATGACTGACAGCCGCACCTTGCACAAAAGCCCCGCCGCATTCACCCTAGTGCGCCACAAACATACTGATATAATACAGGCGAGTATGAATGAGTGTTTCTCATTTTGCCGGACAAGGTCTTCATCAATCGATCTGCCCTTGCGCATGTTTTAATAAGCGGGTATGTACTTACGTGGCGTGGTGCTGGGTGTTAAGGAGGCTGGCATCGCCCCACTCATGTTACCCGCGATCGTCGTCAACGTATGAACTCGGACACGGACTGTAGTGTCCAGAGACTCGTGAGCTTTGAGCTGCGCTTACATTCACAGCTACTGTTTCCTCATTCTTATCACTGCTGTGAGGAACATCCCACTCTTAAAGTTGTAACCCCGTAACGTTACCTCATAGCGATGCATCACACGGTCAAGTGCGACTCGGATTCAAAAGCAGAAAAATCCCCAGGACAAAAAGCGTTTGTAAAGTTTTTACGTGTACAAACAAAATTGTCCTGTATGTGCATATGGGAGAATGGTGTCAGTTTGCGTAGTGTATCTCCAGTCCTGCAAGGGGGCAGCACGCATCTACACATGTACAAGCAGCAAGAAACAGAGGAAGAGGGAACCCGGAAAAAAAGTCTAAACATAAACAACAGCAGCTTCTTAGCAGTCACGCAGCAAAATAGCGTACAGAAGCAAGTTGATAGAGTATGTTGTGATTTTGTGGCAAATACTGTATTCACAAACAAACGTTTTCAAAGCGTATTTTAACATGTAACTTATTTTTGCTGGAAATGGAAATCACTGCCAGAATCTTTAATGCTACTGAAAAAAAAACCCTATTAAATTGTATTGAGAAATTCTTTACATTATAGCCCTTCAATACAATCCAAAATATTATCATCTTGAGTTTGTTTTTGGGGAAAGGGAAGACAATGTCCCTTTTCTTTCTTTTCAGAATATGTAATTTAGTGTTAATATTTAAAATAATCTGTACTTACTAACGATTTTTTTTTAAATAGGTGATAGGAGATCATTGCTAGGTATGTTCACTGTTCTACTGATCATTGCTTTTTTAATTAAAAGTAGTTTATGTTTGTAATGATGCTCGCTGTGTTCTGATTACCTCTTTCCGAAAGTGTTAAATGAAAACACACAAAATGTATTAATAAAATTAAAATAGACAAAACTTTCTGCAAAATAAATAAATCTTCATATATTTTACACTAGATATGTCTCACTTCTGTGTACTTTTTATAAGCCTTAAATGGGTAAGAAAGACTAATTTCAAACATGAGATTAACAGTTTGACCACACGATCCATCATCTCAAATGTTTCTCACCTTCACTTAGGCAACTAATACTAGTCAAAACCTGGAGCTTCAACAACCTTTCTGATTTCACACAATGTTTTCACATTAAACAAGAGTGGCACAGTTTTATCTACAATGACTGTGCTTTAAAACACTTTATTTCTTTAAAAACACACACCTATAAAATATCTTTCACGTATAACATCAAAATGTAACACTTAAAAGTCCACTTTTTTCTTTACCTCTAAATAGATGGTTAGTATTTATTTAGCCGTCTTAATTTGACATGGAGCGGGACCTAATGAGGGTTGCCATGTTGAGATCACATGACCAGCAAAATAATACTTGTTTTATTTCAGTAACCCGACAGCACTTATCTGATTGCACCTTTAAACTACCCATGATACAATTTTTAAAAGGAATTTTCACTAGATGAAACATAACACTGTTGTTAGGTTTATTAAGTCACACCCAACTGTTCTTCCAGATCCAAAAATTCAAGCATTTAAACCTGTGTTAGTTTTATTATCACGCACCTCATGATGTTCACGTGTGACTCAGCTAATTTAGCACACACTAGTGTGGCTCTGAGGACACGTGTCTGTAATGGCAGAGCTCCTTGCACTCAGTGTCAAATCAGCTCTGTGGCAGCTCCAGGTGAATTGAAATCATGGCTGCAGAGAATTTGTGTTCAGCTTTCATTGAAAAAAAAAAAAAAAAAAGGGCACAGAGACACATTTCATCCATACATTTCAATCCATCGTTTCTTCTCAAGTATCTCTTTAATCTTCACCTTTTCCTCCAGTTTTGCTCAGCTATAAAAAAAAAAAAGAAAGAAAACAAGAAATATGTAAACAGATTATAAGCTTGCACTACCCTTCAAAGGTTTGTGGTTTTTAAGAGTTTCTGAAAAAAGTCTCTTATGCTCAACAAGGCTGCATTTGTTTGATCAAAAATACAATATAAGTAATATTGAGAAAAATTATTACATTTAAAACAACTGTTTTCTATTGTAATTGTTTAATGTAATGTATTCCAATTTAATGCATGCATGCTTAATAAAAGTATTAATTTCTTTAAAAAAAAAAAAAAAACTGACAAAAAAACTTTGTAGTAGCAGTGTTCATTTGTGACGCTGTCGTACAATGGTTTACAGTTTTTAAAAACTATAAACAGTGTTTATAGTCTAGTACAGGGTTCCTCAAATCTTGCCCTGGAGGGCCAATGCGCTGCAGAGTTTAGCTCCAACCCTGATCAAACTCACCTACCTGTGATTTTCTAATGATCCTGAAGACACTGATTAGCATGCTCAGGTGTGTTTGATTAGGGTTAGAGCTAAACTCTGCAGGAAAGTGGATCTCGTGGGCCAGATTTAAGGATCCCTGGTCTAGTATGTCACTGATATGATTACATGAAGATTTCATTCAAAATAGAGGCCCCAAAATATTTGAATACTCTAGTCATACATAATTCATATGCCATTACAACAGAATATCAAATCAAGCAGCATCTGCAAATATATACGATGCAAGACATTTTCTGAAATTTTTTTTAATTACTTAAAACCAATTCTCCCAAGTTGATTTGCAGTGGATGTATGACATCAGTCCGCATGAAGTTCACACAGGTGCCCTATAGCGGAGTAACCACAGGTGGACTTCATCAGATGAACTATGCCCAAACACTTGTGTCTATTGTCCATCTGTCTATTATTTTCTTATCTAAAAAAAACACGCATGTCAAATTTCTGGAAAATGCTTGTGTTGTTTTCTTTCAAATGAACACCATTTGGTTTGATTCTTTTTTAATCTAATGTCACAACAATTTTGCATAAATTGACCTTAGAGAGCAAATACTTCTTGGAGCCACTGTATATTATATCTTGTAAATACATGTATATTTTATACACATAAATTGCTTACATGCTGTTTGTTGGACAGAAAAGGTGGTAATGTATGGACGAGATCCCCATGCAAAAGAGAAAAAAGACAGACATTATAAAACAAGTCCCTGAAAATTTCAGAATGTGCACTCATTACATGTAAAATGGCATTTACAGTAAATCTTTTCAATTTAGCTTACCTTGATAACATCTACCCAGTCCCAACCTCTTGGCAGTTCACCCTTATTATCTGTTCATTGCAAAGAGCAGTTTCACATCAGTGTGCATTCAAACAACAAAGCCAATTTTTTTTTTGCCAACGATACTAACCCGTTCTTCCAATCAGTTTCCTCTTCTGTGCTTTGGTTAGTTGCTCTTTCTTCTCCTTCTTCTTCCTAACAGAGGTGGAATTATTCATGACATCGCTGTTGGATATCAGGGTCTGAGAAACAATAGAGTCGTTACATTATTTACAGGAGTGACAAAGTCATTCTAAACAATCTGAATGCAGAAAAGCGGTTTCCATAGCTACAAGAGACCTTCACCAGTTACAAATATGCTGCTGTATTCTTTGAGGTGAAGTGACTGTATAAACATATAAAGTCAAATAAATCAGAAAGCAGTAGTCCAGAGATTTCACAATATATTCAGACAGTCCAACACTTCAAGAATACAGACCACAGCGGATGTCACAGGCTGATGGTTTTCCATGAGTGTTTCCTGGTTCTCTTTGGCCCACTCAAAGAGCGTGTACATCATGGCAGTACCCAGGTTGGCCTCTACCTGTTCACTCAATTTGGAAAGAATGTACTGCTTTGTCTCCAGGGATCTAAAAATAGATGCTTGATTTTTTTAATCCTGTTAAACCTAATGACATACAGTGTTCTATATAAATCTAATACGATTGACAACTATTCAAAAGTTTGGGGTCAGTACTTTTTTAAATTTAGACCCATTATATTTACAAATGGCCACTCCCACTATTACGGGAAAAATAAGGTGGATAACGATTGTGTATATTAAAAATATAACATTCCTACTGCTAAAAATCCAACACATCTAGGTCAAGGACAATCTATGAACTTAGGTTAGAACATTTCAGCCAAGAAAGCCACAATTAAAAGCCAACAATTATACAGAGAACAACTTGCATTCTGTTGTTGAAAAAAGCATCTAATGATATGTGCGGGGCAGTTTCAGGATAGTTCTCTGGCCATGACACTTCTAGCAGGAAGGATTTGGAGTCCTCAAGATCTCCTATCTACAAATAAACGAAGGAAAAGACACCGTTCTGACACAAACCATGGCATTACCACAAACCTTTGGAGATGTTTCATCTGAATACTACAATATATAATGTGTAATGTAAATAGTCCCAGTATCTGTATGCCTTAAATAAAACATCTCTGTAAGCCAAAGTGAACAGTATTTGGTGTTTTTATTACGTTTGTCACTCCACTGAAGTATTTGTGTTGAGAAGCAGTTCTTACCCTGAACTGAAAGGAAACAGGGCCGAGCTCTTTAAAGCAGTCATCTCCTTCATAGATAGAGCGCAGAGCCTCCAACTCCATCTGCACATAAACACTTCAGATTATCACAACACTACCATGGTATTACCATGTTTTGGACATATACCGTGGTATATTTCAAGTATATTTAAAAATTCAATGGTTGCATCACTGTACCATGATACAACCACTGTAATTTTTGTATAGTGTTAATTATCACATTTCAGAACCAAACGTGGGTATAAACATGAAGTTCATTAAGTATGTGATTAGGTTAGAATACACAGTGACAGCCTTCATAAAACCTCCACACTGTATTTAAACGGCCATCTTTAGTTCATGTGTGTTAGCTTTAGCTGTATCTCTCTCACCTCCTGGTCTTCATTGGCTGTCATGTTTTTCGCCAATCCAACACTTTAAACCAGTCATAAACAGCGCTGCTGTACCAGCGGACTGTAGCCAAAATAGCGTTTAAACACTTAATAATATCAACATGCTTTAAGAATTCCCAAGCCTAACTCTGCTGTGCTTTTAGAGTCACCAGTCCATACAACACAGTAGAATGTCGTCTTACAGGAAACAGTCACTTACTGCCGCCTGCAGGACTGGAGTACAGAAATGCACTGGCAACTGCAACGACCCTTAATAGACCCCAGATGGCGGCAAAACACTATAGCCTTGGTTGTGGGTAACGGCGAATGCGTGTAAAGTAAGGGGGGGAGGGGGGGAATATAGAATATAAATTCTAAGATAATATGCATCTACTCTTTAAGGCCTTTCACTGGCCAGTTAAAAAGCATTGATTTAATAAGCCTTTAACGTTACTTTACTTATTGGTTTACACATAGCCTATTAAGTTTTTGAGTCCAAATGCTTGTTTTGTGTTTTCCCCTCAGCTGTCCTTTTGTATGTTGATTCAAAACCCTCTTAAGGGGTCATATGATGCGATTTCAAGTTTTCCTTTCGTATTTGAAAAATAATGTGTTTTTTGAACGTTAAAGCATGTCAGCATATTCTGTTACACCAAATACACAAAATAATGATCTTTAAAAAAGCATCATATGACCCCTTTAAATAACAGTAATTATGTGAATTTAATCCTCCTAAATTTTATTCTCCAATCTTAAAAATCAATATAATCATATTTTTGCAGCAGCAGTTGCGTAACCAAATGAGAAAAATAAAATCACACTGGCATACACAAAGACAACAGTCAATTGTATATTAAGATTTTACCTAAAAGGTTGGACTGTGTGCTTGAGAATATTTCATGAATGTCAGATTGGGCAATAGCCAAATTACCTGTTGGGAAGATTTACTGTTCTAATTTCAGATCTATTTCACCAGACCTCTACAAGTTCTTCCATTAAATAAGCCATCCAAAAATGAGTTTATGAAAGACACAACTCAGGGTCAAAAATAATTCATTTATCATCTGTCTGCAAATGCAATATTTATCATAGCTTCATTGGGCTAACAGTGACATGACCCCAGAAGATATGTTATTGCTCAAAGTTTTCAGGGAGTCCAGTGAACCAGCATACATACTAATATATAATATAATATAATATAATATAAATACAAAAAATGCATTTCTTCCTAAGTATCTTTGTCTTGATTTCCAGTACAAATTTCTAAACATTCTTAAATCAAGATTCAATTACTTGAAAAGCAAAATTACATAAAAAGTTTTATCAAAATGAAGTGACTTTACGGTTAAAACAAGCTTTATGCTTAAAATGTCTGCCAATCGGGTAAGAAAATTAAACTTGTTTTCCCTTTAAATATTATTTAAATATATTTTTTCTTGTCTTAAGCATAAAGTCACTTAACGTTCATCATGTTTTTAGAAAAAAAAATCTATAGTTTAAGTATCTTAAGTATCTTAAGTAATTTTGCTTGCTTCTCAAGTAAATGTATAGTATTGTGATCAAAAGAGTCTTTGTGATGTGGGGAAGCAAGAAGTCATTTCATGGCACACCTCTCCGCAAACGTTCTGTTATGTGCATTAACTTTTGAGCACTCTATACGCTTCATTCAGTTCTGTGGCTTGTTTAGTACTCCCAAAGCTTATGTGGCAGAGCATATACCGTGGAGCCAAAAGTATATATTACACTATTGTATGTTTCTTTAGGCAAAGAACTGCAGGCAGCTGGCCAAAGCTTTAACTCCCACAGTTTGAATTACATGACTGGTTGGCTCTACACAATCTATTTTATGGCTTGGATGTACAAAGTTGCAGGAGGCCTATTGTGTGTATGCTGTAAACCATTTGTATGCTTTATTTGGAAGGTATTGCTGAGTTTAAAATCTGAATAGATATAGCATTTCCTGATGGCTGAGCAATGATAAAGTCACAGAAACCATTGTTTCATTGTGGGGCTTTTCTTCCCAGGCCCACAGCCGCTCTGCCAGCATTGCATCTTGGATCGCAATGCTGTTATGTGCTTGCTGGTGAAAAGAAAAAAAAAACAGTTGTATGCAGAATTGTGGAAACATTTTCAACAGAATGCAAAAATCCAGGTAAAACCATTATATTATATTATATTATATTATATTATATTATATTATATTATATATCAAGTAAAAATATAGTGCAAAATTGTATAGGATATAATGTAAACGTATGAATTATCTTATAATTTATGGAGGAGTATTACTTTTTTTTTGACAAAGTATTCATTTTAAGGTAAAATTGCTGTCGAAAATATGTTTTTAAAAAAGATAGTATGAATCTTCAAGAACAGTCTCATTAGTATGGAGGCCTATTTCCCTATGGAAACCCATTTCAGCCACATAAGAAAAAATGTCATGTGGTGAATCATAATTAAGAAATAAAACGTCAAAACTGATAGTGACAATCATTATGACATAAGTCATAATTATGAAATTAAAATTCAAAATTGTATCATAAATTTGACTGATTTGACTCAAATATGACATATTATGCCAGAATTCTGAGTTTTAACTTATAATTATGACTTTTAACTCAGAATTCAGACTTTTTAATGTCACAATTTAGACTTTTTATCTTATAATTGTGACGTACTATCTCGTAATTTATGTCATAATTATGATTTACCAAAGAATGGTTTTCTTAGGCTATGTGGTGAAAATGGGCTTCCATTCATCAGTCATATAAACCAACCGTCTAAAACGAGCCTGACTAGGCTGAGAGACCATTTCAGACCAGCTTAGGCTGTTTTTAGGCAGTTTTTCTCAGCAGGGGTCTGAATACAGTGATCAATGAGTCAGGCGCCGGCTTTCACGTGCCCACGGCTTCACAATTCTGACCCTTCCTTTCTTGCTTGTGTTCTCTGTCTGCTCTTCGCAGGACAGTTTAACGAACATGTAATGGTTCGTGCGGCTCACGCAAATCGAGAGGGCAGAGCTTAGCAGACTCAATTACATCTATTTCTTCTTGTTTCCTCTCACGCTGGCGAGTGAATACAGCACGAGGCGAGGCGAGACGGAGAACAGCACCGAGCGCCACAGGGATGTATACCAAACACAGACAGAAAAACGGACACATTTCATCCACACGATATGTGCTTGTAATGCTATCGGTTTTTCTCTTTAACGGTTTACTGGAAATTGTAAGCGGAAATCCTCGGGAGGAAGGTAAGACACCGCTTTCTTACCCAGAACCTACTTGGAAAGTTGTTCTCCTTTATCAACCAGTTGCGTGCACCCGTGAAGAAGTTTTCTTGCGGGGAAATCGTATTTAAAGAACTTCGAAAAGAGGTTGGGTTAGTAAACAAATGCTAGGTTAGTGTGTAAACAAATGCTTCTGAGCAATAATGTATCAGTGATTTCTCTTCCATATAAGGATTGCAATGGGCGATGTTGCCCACGTTGACTAATCCAAGACCACTTTGTTCTCAGCTGATTGTTTAAAATGTTGCGGATACACGCTTCAGGACATGATTGCAGCTTTATATTGATCTTGACTGAAATTGCAAGGCGAGGGAGAAAATCTGACAAATAAGCTCGTATAGCCTATCTATCTAACAGTTAAAGCTGAACGACTATTACTGAGACATTTAAGTAGGGCTAAGGATCATTTTCGCAACCGGCTACATTTTTTTAAAGCACAGGAACCGAATGATTTTCATGACTTATATTCCTTTGAGGGTTCTGGAACATGCATCCGAAATAAAATATTCTGCGAGTATTTATTGCTCTACTATTCAGCACTAGTGTATAGCGCAGCCAGTCCTGCATCTGATACTAAATCCACATCGTGAAACAACAGGGCAGCGCGCCGCCAGGTGTAGTAGGAAGATAATGAATGTTATCAGTTGATTCTTTTTGGTGAATCAAAAACAATCAAGCGCGACCTGTGTAATCATGTTCCCAAATAAGCGAGTCAGTTGTGAGGCAGTTATCTTTAGTGGATCAAATCGTACAGCGCAACCGTTAGTCATAATTGCAAATGAATGACTTGCATTAGTCGGTTATTTTCTACTAAATCAAAAACAAACATCGCGAATCAAAAGCGAATTTTTAGTGAATCAGAAACATATGTCGTGAACGACAAAAACTGCGTGATTTACTCTTATGAGCCGATTCTTCTAGTGAATCTAAAACACTTATGAATGATTTGGAGTGGTTACTTATTTAATCTAGAAACTTACTGTGATATGTTGTAGCAAATACAACATAACACAGTAGTGATACTTAAATCACAGTATACTGATGTTGTTCACACGACGACGAGTAGTTGGTGATATTTTTTTTTCTTCTAATGAGTGAATGCATTGAATTTCTTACCACGTTCTTTGATTGTAGAATTTTAATTTAATATATTATTTAATTAATTATTGGGCTGCTATCATGCTAAAAGGTCATTTCAAGTCATTATAAAGTCTGTGTAAACTAACACTTAAAGGGGTCATATGATGCGATTTAAATTTTTCCTTTCTCTTTGGAGTGTTACAAGCTCTTGGTGCATAAAGAAGATCTGTAAAGTTGCAAAGACTAAAGTCTCAAATCCAAAGAGATATTCTTTATAAAAATTTAGAGTCAACCACAACTACCTAAAACTGCTGGTTCTAACATGCCCCCACATGTCCACGTCACGATGTGGGAAGATTTGCATAACGCCGCCCAAATGTTCATGCAAAGAAAGAAGGCTTAACTTTTAGTCTCACTGTAGTATTGTTGCCGCCGCCATGTCCTGAAGACACTGTGATTCGTTGTGAAAGCGAAACTACTTTGTTTTTCACCGTGGACAAAGCGGAGTCCAGCCTGGGGTCGTCACATGTGGTTGCCGCAAGCCCGTCGGCCGCTCCTTCGTCGAATTCGCCGGCCTCCGCTCACTCTAGCCCGCCGGCCTGAAAGCGAAACTACTTTGTTTGGCCTTCCAAAAGAGGACACGACTAGAAATCAATGGTTAAGTTGTATTTACAACACTGTTCCAGAACACTTCAACCCAAATATTCAGATGTGTCCAGCACATTTTATGGAGGACTGTTTCCTGATCCTGGTAGAGTAGACTACAATGCCGGCTGTTCTGACTCACAGACTGTAAGTACGTTTTTTATCTTAAAGAATTTGCCACTGACGATTCAAACGTGAGTTTTGAGCAGTGTAGAGTAGCGCTTGTTGTTTGTCATTTCTCTGATCACAAATGCAGACATGGTTTTATGTTTACGCGGCGCGATGCAACAAAAAAAAACAGTATATGTCATTATAATCCATCCCCACTGTATGCAACAAATGCCTCGTTTATAATGGGTTTTAATGTTTTGTCTCGTCGCTCTGGCCGGACAGGGCAATATGGTAAGGGGCGTATCATTACACTCATTACACCAAATACACAAAATAATGTTCTTTTTAGCAACATCATATGACCCCTTTAAGAGAATATTTCAGATTTTTTATAGCCTATATGTCCTTTTTACGCAAGTATTCCTTGTTCAAAAGTACTTAATGAACCGTCAATGTATAATAACCAGGTAAATAACCGGGATTGTTTAGAGGGCCGCAACTAGAAGTCATATTTAAGCGACACATTTCTGCCAAACCACTAAAGGGCACAGAACAAATCGATTTGATCTTTAGACATTAGTCAATCTTTCTGTTGTGAAAACAATGATGTGATGTCAGCCTTAATGACAGGACTCCATTAAAACCAAACTATTATTGATGCTGCAAATCCATTACTGTCAATATTATAAACCACAACATGATCAGGTTAGCCATACTTCAAGAAGTTCACAATATCAACACCCCAGATGCTCACTGAGCAACAAATGAAAGAGAAAAAGAAAGACCGTTGACCGTTTTCTTTTTTCTTGTTTTCTCCATCAGAATATTCCATCACAGGCATCACTACTCTGTCATTTAATTACTATTTGTTTTAAAACTCAAACAGGCTGTTGGTCTCAGGATATCGGGTTCAGTCATGTTCCAACAGAAACGACACAAGCTTTCTGCGTGTTCTGCTTGTTTGGAGAAGTTGCTACATCTCTCTGAGATTTGACCGGGGACTCTGGGACCTGCGCTGAGCTTCAGTCTCCATATTGCGTGACAGACCTTTAATGCATTTATAACAAGGCTAGTGATATTATCTACGGCAGGCAAGAGCTATTAGCAAGAGCAAATATTCTGCTGAGCTGAGCAGTTGATGTTAAAATATACTTATGGCTTGTTTATACTACATGTGGATTTGAATTGATTCATAAAGCTACCCTATTGTTACTTCTACTTAAACTGAAAGTCTTGTGACATAATAATAAAAAATATATATTGGCATTTCCTAAAGGAAATATTGCTGATTGTAAGCAGTGCAGGTTCTGTGCTTCATTTGCATATGTAATGAGGAAAATACCAATATCAATTTCAAATGCAAATAAATCCAAGAAATTAAATCCTAATTTAGAATGCAAAAACATTCTAGCTTAAGTACTGATTCTTATACTGGGAATATTGGGACAAAAGAGGCTACAAAAAAAAAATTTGTGTCAGGGGATTATAGATTATTACACACAGTTTTGTAAAATACTTGAAGTTAAATATTTTTGTGAAAAGACTGTTGTCTTGAATAACTGACCTCTCATCTGGACAATCGATTTCCTACGTAATAGTGTCTATTGTATCTCTGCAGTCTTTCTTTCTTTCTCTCTCTCTTACTCTTTTTCATTACATACAATGCAAGTTGTTAATTGATGCCATCTTTCATCTCCATACAAATATCGACCGTAGTAAAGCTGGCCTTGGAGGACTTCAGGATTGCTTTTATGCTGAACATAAAACTTTATTCATCTATGATTGGGTGCAATCTCCGGCTTATTCAGTGTGTTAAAAAATGCTTTTCCTTGCCTGTCATTCAGATAGTCATACTGTGTCAAATATATATTATAAACATTGACCAGTCTAGCTTTCACGTAAATGAATAAATTCACTTTCAATTACTTAGAAAAAAAAAAAACTCACCAGAGCCAGTGTGACATTGTTCAACTCATAACAGATCGAATACTCAAAAATACACACACACACAAAAAAGAAGTTTACTCAAATTGCTAGTAATTTTCACAAAAAAGGGCAAGTAACAAGGAATTTAATGTGATTTTTTTTTCTTGTGTAACATATTCCAATACAGTGTAGTTTGAAATGGTATGTACTTTAAGCTGTTCATGTTGAATTAATTGCAGAAAATTGTTGAGAAAATAAGAATATGAACATCAGTAGTATTGTAATTCAATAGTAAATAGTCTGTAAATAGTCCTATTCGACTGGGGACCAGCCTGCGTGTTGTATAAAATTTGAAAGAATTCTTCTCTTCAAGGAAGGCCCGGGTTCATACATTGTGGACTTATTAGAAATATGCACATAATAGCACAGGAGGTATAAATAAGGCAGTCTTTTTGCAGTGGTCTACTCACAGCGCTTTGTGCTCGCCACAGCTGCATGGGTTAGTTATATCGCCATTATTCATTTATACGCCTTATGTTTATGGGATGAGACAAAAGATGGATGACTTTGGGTTTCATCAGTATGTCTAAAAAGCCCCTTGTTCCTGGAATGTTCCATTAGTCCCTGGACTACAGTTTTTCTATTAAGATAATGACTTTCATAAATTGGCTCACACAATAGATAATGGTTGTTTTTCCTTGTGAAAGCGACTTTTGTGGCATGGAGTCTTATTATAATGCTATCTTTTCTCAAGCTGTAGTCCCTCTGTATGTCTTTATGAATCCTCTCTGTTTTTTTTTTTAAATACAGCATAGATTTCAAATTCTGTGTATCATTCGGTTTTACTGCATGAGAAAAGTTTTTGTGAAAAAGAAGTGTGCTTAATTGTATTGAATGTGTACTTGTAGTGTACTTCAAATTGTAAAAGTATATTTAAAAAAAACGACTTGCAGGTAGTATAATATTAATGAAATAAAAGGCCACTTAAGTATACTTAAAGTACAGTTTCATGACTGTTTATTAACACATTTAAATAACTTAACTTTAAAGTACATTTTAAATCTTTGTTTTAATTATCTTTGGCATGCTTTAAAGAAGTACACTTTTGATATATTGACTAAAATACTAAAGCACATATAAAGTATTTGATTATAAGTTTAACTGTAGTATATTTGCATTTAAAGTTAATATATTTTCAAATG